AGAGGAGAGGAGAGGAGAGGAGAGGAGAGGAGAGGAGAGAGGAGAGGAGAGGAAGGGAGGAGATAACATAAGAGGAGAGAAGAGGAGAGGAGGGAAGGGGGAGGAGAAGGAGCAGGAAGAGGAGGGAGAATAGGAACAGGAGGACTCCCGTGGCATGCGGGGCGGGGGGAGAACGAGGAAAATCAGGGAGAAGAGGACCTCGAGGACCACGACGACGACGACGACGACGTCGACGTCGTCGACGACGACGACCACGACGACGACGACGACGACGACGACGACGACGACGACGACGACGGCGACGGCGACGGCGGCGGCGGCGGCGGTGGCGACGGCGACGGCAACGGCGACGGCGACGACGACAGCCAGCAGAGGCGCCTCCAGAGCAGCGAGCTGCTCGATGGTGTGGAAGAGCGTAACCTCCCGCGCCACCGCCGCGGGCTTCTCGTCGCTCCTCTCGAGGTGAGGGTACTTCTTGCCTCGGACCGCGGCAGAGCGGCGTCTCTTCACCCGTCCGTCCGACCTGTTCGCCAGCCGTAGGCCGTCGCCGTCGTCCGTCGTCCGTAGTCAACCCGTATCATAAGGATGCGCGATAAGGGTGCAAGGGCCTTGGACGCCCATTTCGAAGCTTCTCGAGCGGGGCGCGGCCAGCGAGAGTGGTCAAGGATGGACCGATGAGGCGGGGATGCAAGGGTACCCCTTAGGAAGGCTGCCCATCCTTACCATGCGGGCTGACTGCAGTCCCTCGTCCGCTGCCCTCGTCGTCGACATCGGCGTCGTCCGCCGCTGTCGCCCGTCTTGCGCCGTTCGTGGTCGGCCGTCCGCCGTCGTCGGTCGTCGTCGTCGTCGCCCTCGTCGCCGTGGCCGCGGCCCCGGGCGGCGCGCACGGGTAGGCAGGGCGGGGGGAGGGCGGCCTTCACGAGAAGGCTGCCCGCTGGCTAGAGGGCACGCGGGACGGAAGCTTTGTGATCTGCGAGGCGGTGCCCTCTGGGAGGCCCATTGCCTGATGAACCCCCAAAAAAACCTAACCCTTTGGGAGGCGACCTAAGTTAGGAGGGCCAAAAGCACCAGGAATAGGGGGTCTTTCCTGCAGATGTATCAGGCCAAACCGCCCAGAACTATTATCCCTCATGCGAAGACGGGGGCCTCAGTGAGGCCGCGTATTCACCGTGCTACTAGGGTTAGGGGTTCTTTTGTGCTCGACGATTGCCTTTTCAGATGAGCACTGGTGATCCGAGCCCTACCTCGAGAGATGTGCTGTTCCCTTCGGGTCTCACGAAGGGAACTGTCCCCACAGGGGGGGTGGGCTGGTGGGGCTGACATACCATGGCCCAGTGGGGATGGGGATCGGTTAGATGCTGCTCATCAGAAGTCTGCCCCCCCCCCTTTCTCTCTGCCCCCCTCTTCTGCGAGCCGCCAGGCACAGGCCAGAGCTCCTAGAGGCTTCCAGAGGTCGTCGTGACGCGGTCGGGAGGCTCTCAAATGTTTCGGGCAGCGTTCGAGAGGTTCTCGTAAGTTCTCAGAGAAGCTCGCGGCCTGGAGCCCTTCGGCGTGCTGCGGAGGTGCTCGGGAATCTCGCGGGTGGTCCCAAGGCTTTCCACAAAAATGTCCAGAGAAGCTGTCGGAGGTGACCGGGCGGTCGGGAGAGGCATGGCATCCACCGCCACCACCACCAAGCCTCAGGCCTGGAGGCCACAGTCGGCAAGGTGCAGGCCCGAGCTGGGCCTGCGGAGCCCAGGTGGTGAGGGGCACGTTCCTCCCAGGACGAGGGCGGGACGAATACGAACGCAGACGGGGACGCATAAGGAATCTCTGAGAGCCCGCGGGTCCAGAGGATGGATGCATCGGGTGCCGCGGCCGTTCCAGGGCGTTCTGGAGCGCTCTGAGAGCGTTCTGGAGCGCTCTGGAGCGGTTCATCCTCATCCCAGGCCTGGCTGAGGGGAGACAGACGGACGGGAAGACGGAGTCATCGCATCAGGCACGCCTGTCCCACCAGGGGGGATAAGAAAGAGCGCACGGCTCTGAACTGCTGCATCCTAAGCTCACGATCTCAGTGATCACAGAGGTCGGACACTCGCCATGCCAGCGATCGCTGAACGGGATACAAATGGAAAGGGGGTACAGTGGAACTGGGAAACCGGAACGGGAAACGGGGGAACAGAGGAGACGGGAGAAACAGGACGAGAGGCACAAGCAGGAGTGAGAGGAGCGGTGCGGGAATTGCGAAGAAAGACAAGGAGACGAATCCATTTGAACTCTGTTTTGCATCTCATCCCAAAACACGACGGTAGGGGAAGTAAGAACCATCCGTATGCTTTTATCATTTACCAATGTGTGTTGCCATACCGTGTGAGCAGCTGCACTTGGTATAGCGCTGAAGGTTGTTCGACTAGCAGCTTAAAGGATAAGAGCTAGACGCTGGTGGGGAAAAAGAGCAGCGCTATCACTTCACGTAGGAATGGCCCACCATGCGGTCATGTCGCCGACATGCGTGTTGCTATGCTACGTGACTATGGGCGCATATGTACACATCGGCGCACGCAAATGTGACCCAATACTCTGCTTCAGGATTTCATGATTATCACACTGCCATGCTGCTGGTTATGTTGGCACATCTGACTTTATCCTTGACCATCCTAGCAGCCCAGGGGCTGACTACCATCAATGCTCGACGTGGCACAAGACCGATGAGGCGATGATGCCCAAGCGATGATGCCCGTTGGCGATGATTGCCCTCCGCAGCTCCCAAATAGCTAGCCCTGCTGGGGAAACGTGGAACTGGATGAGTACAGCCAGCACACTCTCAGGCACGCTGGTTCGAATCGTCAGCTTCTTGGTGTTCGCATGCACTGATATATACCAGCTGTCCACGGTGGCGTCGACTGAACAGTACGAAAGAGCAGGCGACTTGCAAACGAAGAAAACATAGATAATGTGAGCCTGCGTAAACCCCAAACAGTATGCTCCAGCATACAATGTGGATCAATGTGCATAGTGCAATACACGGGAAAACCCTGATTTCAAGATCCCAGGAACACCTGAATCGTGATCCAAGTGTTTCGGGCGCGCCGAACCCCGCGGAGAGCCCGAGAGGACAGCCTGGGTCTCCTCCCCGAGTCTCTTCCCCGAGTCTCGCCCCCGAGTCCCCTCCCCGAGTCTTCTCCCCAAGTCTCGTCCCCGAGTCACGTCCCCGAGTCTCGTCCCAGAGTCGCGTCACCGAGTTTCGTCCCCGAGTCTCGTCCCAGAGTCTCCTCCCCAAGTCTCCTCCCCCAGTCCCCTCCCCGAACCTCTCCCCCGAGTCGCGTCCCCGAGTCTCCTCCCCGAGTCTCGTCCCCGAGTCTCGCCCCCGAGTCTCGTCCCCGAGTCTCGTCGCCGAGTCTCGTCCCCGAGTCTCGTCCCCGAGTCTCGTCCCCGAGTCTCGCCCACGAGACTCCTCCCAGAGACTCCTCCCCGAGTCTCCTCCCCGAGTCTCCTCCCCGAGTCCCATCCCCGAGACTCGTCCCCGAGACTCCTCCCCGAGTCTCCTCTTCGAGTCTCCTCCGCGAGTCCCCTCCCCGAGTCCCCTCCCCGAGTCTCGTCCTCGAGTCCCCTCCCCGAATCTCGACCCTCCCCGAGTCTCGTTCCCCGCTCTCCTCCCCGGCTTCCCCCCCGGAGTCTTCTCCCCGAGTCTCGTCCCCGAGTCTCGCCCCCGAGTCGCGTCCCCGAGTCTCCTCTCCGAGTCTCGTCCCCGACTCTCCTCCCCGAGTCTCGTCTCCGAGCCCCCTCCCCGAGTCTCGTCCCCGAGTCCCCTCCTCGAGTCTCGTCCCCGAGTCTCGTCCCCGACTCTCCTCCCCGACTCTCCTCCCCGACTCTCCTCCCCGACTCTTCCTCCCGGAGTCTCCTCCCCGAGCCGGGCCGTCGATGCGTGTTGTACGTGCGTGCGCGTGTGCGCAAATACAATCACATGCGCCTGTGGAACACATATATGTGCGCGCATGGATCCTGGTGTTTTTCACCATGATTTTTGTTTGTCACGTGGCTGTGTTTTGCACAATGTGTGTGTGTATATCCAGATGGCTGTGGCTCAGGGCATCTCGGACGTCAGAGGTGCGCCTGTGGCTCAGGACATCTCGGATCACAAATTTGCGAGGATGTCTCAGGCGAAAGTGGCCGGACCACCCTTAAGCATGGCATCTCCGATGTCAGAGGTGCGAGGATGTCTCAGGCGAAAGTGGCCTGACCACCTCGGGTCAGGGAATATCGCAACCCAGAATTGCGAGGATGTCTCGGTCGAAAATGGCCAGACCACGGACATCTCCGAGGTCAGAATTGCGAGGATGTTTCAGGCGGAAGTGGCCAGACCACATGGGCTCAGGGAATGTAGGAATCCAGAGTTACGACGATGTCTCAAGCGAAAGTGGCCGGACCACCTGAGCTATCTCGAACCCAGAGTGGCGAGGTCGTCTCAGGCGAAAGTGGCCCGACCACCATAGGGCAGGGCATCGCCGAGGTCAGAGTTGAGAGGATGTTTCAGGCGGAAGTGGCCTGCCCACCTGGGCTCAGGGCATCTCAGAACCCAGAGTTGCGAGGATGTCTCAGGCGAAAATAGCCGGGCCACCATGGGGCAGGGCATCTCTCAGGTCAGAGTTGCGAAGATGTCTGAGGCGAAAGTGGCCGGACCATCTCACTTCAAGGCATCCCGGAACCCAGAGTTGCGAGGATGTCTCAGGCGAAAGTGGCCGGACCACCATGGGACAGGGCATCCCCGAGGTCAAAATTGCGAAGATGTCTTCGGAGTCCTCCAAGAACCGTCCACAACAACATATCGCAAAAACTCGACTTCTCATCCTCCTTGTAATCGTCCGTTCCTTCCTTCCTCCTTTCTTGCCTTCTCCCTCCTCGTCTTCACCTTCCTCGTGCCGTTCGACACGATCGGGATTCCCCAAAAGATGCGGATTGAATCTGGCACCTGTGCGGCAGAGAACCCTAAACAGCTTGTACACAATTACGATACGGGGCCACGACGGGGACTCACGATTGGGGGCCAAGATGGGACGGCAAGTGGAAGCCACGGGAGGCCACGATGGGGGGATGCGAAACGTCAAAAGTTTGCAATGGTGAACTTCGCAGGGGGGTGCGAGTGGCACGCCCAGCAACGACGCCTGGGAATGGGTGGGGGGGAAGGCCGACGACCGACGATGATGATGATGATGATGATGATGATGATGATGATGATGATGATGATGATGATGATGATGATGATGATGATGATGACGATGACGACGACGACGACGACGACGACGACGACGACGACGACGACGACGACGACGACAACGACGACGACGAAAACGACGACGAAAACGACGACGACGACGACGACGACGACGAGACGACGATGACGACGACGACGACGACGACGACGACGACGACGACGACGACGACGACGACGACGGCGCGGCTGCGGCGACGACGACTGGCGGACGGCGACCGACGACGACGA